ACGCAGGTGTGTCAAATGAATTAGTCTTAAGCCAACTACTAAGATATCATATATTATCTCTTTCATTTATGAAGCGATTTGGATTAAATTTGGGATAAACCTAGTTGACAGAATTTCGAAATGACACTTATACTTAAACAAAATGGCCGACTTCCGGTTTTACCAGAAATGCCATTAAGTTTGAGTTTTTAAGGCGATCCCGCTGTATATCTTGTTTTTGGAATATAATTATAAATATATTAAATAATAACGTGTTTAAAATAAATAAACGTTACACTGTACAGGTATAGTTAAAATAAGACAAGTGTCCACTCATATTGCTTACAGTTATACAATAATCTTTTTAAATATAAATCTTCATTTGCTTGGAATATTTTATCATAATTTTCTATTTTTTTTTTTTTTTAGGGGGAAGAAGAAAATACCCTCTTTGTTCATCAGAATTTTTTCGACTCACTATTGTTTTATCAAAAACTTTTATTTTCATCTATTTTTCTGAAAATTATTTCTATCCAGTGGGAAATTAGAGGTTTATGCCTTTGATTACTGTAAAAGGCTGAAATGCAATCTTGCGACTTATTGATAGGAAACCAGTTTTAATAATTATTTCGAACTAAAAATGAAGAAAATATAAATTACAATCGCAAATATTCCAATTATTTTTGATAATACGTTTTTATTCTATGTAATTATAATATAACATATCATACATTTTTTCGTAACTACCTGTCTATGTTTTATCATTGATTTTTATTGATTATACTACTTTTTTTTAGCTCAAGTAATAAAAATCCGTAATAATAATAATAAATTAATTTTTCACTTGTTTTACAAATCCATAAACTTTTATTAAAATCAACATATATATTTTTTAAATACGAATTCTATTAAAAATTGTATTTTCGGTATACGCAAATATCATCCGTTAGTTCATAAAAAAATTGGCGCTGCTGTCACGCACGAAGCGAATAATAAATGAAAATTGTCTGACTAGGCTATGCATGAAGAGCGCATATCGAAAAATAATCGGAGAAAACAAAAAAGAAATTATGTTTTCTGTTATCGATATTTTTGGTAGAGCAAAAATAAATTTAAAATTTGCATTTCTCTAGTGTTTTTTTGTATTTAAATGATTTTTTGTGTTTTTTTTTAAATGTGTTTTAAGTTTCTTGTTTTTTTTTTTATTTTAGTTTTTGTCTTGTTTTGTTGGGTTATTTGTTGTTAATTTGTATTGCTCTTTTATTTTTCATTTTCTTTGTTTTTCAACAAATAAACATTCTAAATTTTGCCCCTCCCTATAAAATTGTGTAACGACGCCCATGGTTTAAAGTGAGAGGTGTAATGAACACACAAATGTGTAAAAATTTAAAACTTCTACTATAGTCTATTTTTATGTATGAGAGCGTAATAAAACAGCATTTCTAATGCAAAACTTAGTACGGTCATTTTAAATATTTTTACAGAATAATCTAAATATTTCCTAAAGCCCTGTGTATTAAAGATTACATAGCCGTATCTTAAGATTATTTTCAATAAGTACCTATTTGCCAATTTTGTTTTATTTTAATTCCAAGAATTTCTTACAGTAATCGAATTATAAGTAGATAAATACCTTCCAACAAATTTCACCGAAAATGCGATTATAGGTTTTCCATTTAGTAAGGAGATCCAAGTTGTGTATTCTTGACAGTTTACTAAATGTCGTTTAGTTGCAACTTGCAAGGTGCAGTGTGAATTCTAAACATTTATGTAAAAGTGTTAATGACACAGTGGAAATAGTTAGTAATACGCTTGGTGTTGAGAAATCTACGATTTACAAAGTTGTTAAAGAAGAGAAATGTGACGAGTTTCAAACAGCACGTAAAGCTCCAGGAAAACCAAAATTTCAATTAGAAAATATTTTGAAAGAAAGACTTCGAAGGAAAGTGAATGCGTTCTACTTTAGAAAAGAATTTCAGACAGTAGACAAAGTTCTTGCCACGGTTCGAGATGATAAGGATTACCCTGAAATGAGTCGAAGCACACTATGGAAACTTTTAAAAGAAATAGGTTTTCTATGGAAAAAGCATTCCAGAAAGTCTATTTTAATAGAAAGAAGCGATATTGTAGTATGGAGAAGAAATTACCTAAGGACTATAAAAGAAATGAGAAACCGAAGAAGAAATATATTTTATTTAGATGAAACATGGATCAACGAGGGACATAAACCAAATAAATGTTGGCAAGATGAAACTGTTGTAAGTCGAAGACAGGCTTTTTTAAATAATTTATCTACTGGTTTAAATCAACCATCAGGAATGGGGCGCAGACTAATAATAGTACACATCGGTAGTTCAAACGGTTTTGTTAAAGGTGGTTTATTGACTTTTGAATCTACTCGTACCGGTGACTATGCTGATGTCTTTAAAGAGGGGTTCAAACAAATTATAGATCTTCTTCCTCAGAACTGTATAATAGTAATGGATAATGCAAGTTATCACTCGAGACTTATAGAAAAAATGCCCACAACCAAGTGGTTAAAAAAAGATTTACAGAATTGGATAAATTTAATGAATATTAAGTTCCATCCCGGTTCTGTGAGAAAAGAACTGTATCATTTGTGTTCCCTTCATAAAGAGAAACTCAAAAAATATGAAATTGATGAAATTGCAAAAAATCGTAAGATGGCGGTGGTTAGATCACCACTATATTAATGCGAAGTAAACCCGATTGAACTGATATGGGCACAGATAAAGGGAGAAGGTTCAAGAAAAAATAATTCTTTTAAAATGAGTGATGTTAAACAGTTGTTTTTGGAGGCTGTAAATAATGTGAAGCCTGAAAACTGGGAAAAGGCAGTAAATCATACGATTAAAGAAGAAGAGAAAATGTGGAAGTTGGACAATATTACTGATGAAATGATCGAGCCACTCATTGTAAATATTGGTTGCGACAGTTCATCTTTTGATTTCGATTCTGATTTGGATTTATAGGTAAGAAGTAGTTTTTATATTAAAATTATTATTTATGAACGTAACGTTGTTTAAAAGTCAAAGTTTAAACCCTTATACCTACATAACCCGTTTGACACAATGTTCTTAACATACCTTGTGGAAAAAAACATTTTAGAAAAAATTGCACTTTTTTACTTTCAGCTGTTTAGAAGTTATAAGCAGGTTAATTAGGTGAAAATATAAGTGTATACTCGAGGAATAACTTCAAAAAATATTTTAACTGTCTACTAAAAGAGGTGTTACGCCTATGGATTACGAACGCTTTATTATTTTAATATTCTCTCATACATAAAAATAGACTATAGATACCACCACAGGAAATCTTAAATGCAATAAAAATGTTTGGAAATTGCAATTATTAAAAACACATGTCAAAGAGACTGATTTTGAATAACAAACCCTAGTTTAAGGAGGTCCTTTCGCTACACCTCTCGCCTCAAATGTTAAAAAAAAAGTTATTAGATTATGATTAAAATTAATTTTTTTCTAATAGTTGAAGTCCTTATTTATCTAATATAGAACTTTTAACTATACCTTACCTTGCAAATTTTTGATATTTTTTTTTTAAATGTGAGTATTTGTACAGTGCCTCACGAGAAAGTAAGTCCTCAACAACAATTCTCGAATTATACTATTATTTATTGATTAGATGGAGTAGAAAAAAACTAAAAATAAGGTTTTTGAAATATTTAGATTTTGTTTTATACAATAAAATATATATAGTAAACCGTGGAACTTATTGAGAAATTAATATTAAAAAATCACAAAAAATTTTCAAGTAACCTAGTTGAAAATTTTTTGTGATTTTTTAATAATAATTTCTCAATAAATTCCACGGTAACCTATATATTTTATTGTAAAAAACAAAACCTAAATATTTCAAAAACCTTATTTTTAGTTTTTTTCTACTCCATCTAATCAATAAATAATAGTAAAATTAATTATAATTCGAAAATTGTTGTTGAAGTCTTACTTTCTCATAAGACACTGTACAAACTTACACATTTTTAAATAAAAAATTCTCAAAAATTTGCACGGTAAGGTATTGTTAAAAGTTCACTATTAGATAAATAAGGACATCTACTATTAGAAAAAAATTAATTTTAGTCATAATCTAATATTTAATAAATATTTTAATAAATAATATAACTAGGATGAAGATATACAGGGTGTCCCAATAGTGTGTGGAAGTCCGATATATCCTATATATACAAGGTAGCTGTTAAAGATGGAACCAAACCTATAGTGCTTAAACGGTTCAACACATAAAACCCAAAATTTCAGAATTTCAACTAAATATATTTGCGCATATTTTAGCCCAAAAATTATTTTTTTATATAATTACACAATTTTAAGCATGGCGGCCATCTTGATTTTTTTAAATAGCAACATAGGTCATGTGATATACCATTTGAAAGGGTTTAACACCGTGATTACAAAAATGTTTGTTTAACACCGTGATTACAAAAATGTATCACACATGGGGTCTAAACACAACAAAAAGGATATTATTAATAGGGAGCGTAGGAGGCTGTGCATTTGACACAAGACGTCAAATACATACATTTTTGTAATCAGGGTGTTAAACCCTTTCAAATGGTATATGACATGACCTATGTTGCTATTTAAAAAAAATCAAGATGGCGGTCATGCTTAAAATTTTGTAATTATAAAAAAATAATTTTTAGGCTAAAATATGCGCAAATATATTTAGTTGAAATTCTGAAATTTTGGGTTTTGTATGTTAAACCGTTTAAGCAATAGGTTTGGTTCCATCTTTAACAGCTACCCTGTATATCAATTGAAACGTCTTCTACTGTTTTCATACAAAAAAAAACTGCCTTTTCGTATAAAAGTCCCTTTTGATATACAATTTTCGATTACAAATTGTAATTTCTCGCGCTATTTTCCTAAAAAAAAATCCACCTGTTCGCACCAAAGTCCTTTTTTGATATACAATTTATTCTTTTACGAAGTCAACATCATCATCATGTTTTAGTCACTTACCGTACATTTTTCCTTCGTCTGATAATATGATTTTCCGTCGTCCGCAGGGCGGGTATATCGCTAGGGCTTCTTGAAAACTTTGTTCGATATCCGGACTCCAAACCCCTTCCGCATCTGCGGCTGCCATGTCTTTTTCATCCTGCAAAATGTTTTTCATTGAAATTTTTCCTGGCCGCACACAAAGCGAATGGATTTTAAATAAAATAATAATACGGATATATATGTTTTAGAGGGATTGAGGGTTGATGAAGGTGAAGTGGCTCTAGAGAGAAGGGCATTTTTACGTTTTTTTATTTTTTTTTTGTGGGAATACATTCTGGTTGTTTCGCTTAGTGACGTGACTTTCGGTTTAAATATCAATCTCAAGTATTAGATAAAGAGAGCATTTTTACGACGTTATCGAAAATTCAGAAAAAAAAGAGTCGAATATACAGGGTGTTATATAACACCGCTCTAACCCAGATAACTCTAATTAATTAATGAATTTTAATATAGGAACGTAAACCCTTAAAAGGCTTAATTACTGAAATACAGAGTGTTAAAAGTTTTAAATCAAAATTGGAAAAAATAAACAAAATAGACTTTGGGGTCAATTCTGTAACAATTCCTTTATATTTAACGGCCTTTAAAAATATTTTCTTCTTTACTTCTGTCATTATTTAAACGGATCTTTAAAATACATTAGAAGATTATCTTAAAGAAATCTGTTTAAATAATGATAGAAGTAAATTAACGAATACGAACATATTTTTATAGGCCGCCAATATTTTTAAAGACCGTTAAATATAAAGGAATTGTTACAGAATAGACCCCTTTGTATCTTTTTTATTGAGAATCAGAGACTTAAGTAGTTGATTAGTACGAAAGGGAGGGCACCACCAGACCAGGAAGTGATCTGTCAAAACCATAAAAAAGAAGGTTACTTGGCCGTTTGGGAAGATCTTCAAAGAGCGTCTGGAAGCTAAATAGGAAGGGGTGACGAAGAAGGCGTCGAAGACACAGACAAAGACGAATAAGGATACGTAAAGGTGTGATTAAAATATGGAGGGGCGACATAAATTAATGGTGTAAAGAAAATGAGGAATGTAAAGTAATGGAGGGATGATAAAGGACTAGAGATATGTAGAGTAATGGAGAGATGTAAACGAATGGAGCGATGTAAATAAATGGAGGATTTAAAAAACGGAGAGAGTTAAATATAGATTATTTAGAACTATCTTAATGTCCCTTAGGGAGTATCCATAAATTAAGTCACACGTTAAGGGGGGGGGGGGGTCGACGTCCCATTTCAAAACCTAATATAATATCTAAATAATAAAATGTTTGATTTAATAATAATTTCATAATTTCTAGATGTAAAATTGCAAAATATGTGACATTACATCATGAAATTCGTGTAACGTAATTTATGAATGGTCCCTTGTCTACAATTTGTTCGCTATACTTGCGCGGGTTTCGGATTAACAACATTATGCAAATTAGTCATTGACAACCAGTTCCAATAAGCCTCTTCCCAAGAAATTAGGTAAAATTGCCATAATGGTCAGAATTAAATTAAAATAACATTAGGTTAGGTACTAAATTTGTTACAAATATTGCAGTTGAATTGATTCTTTGCAAGTGTTGACATTGTATATATATATTGTAAATTTAGTGGAAATTTTAAAAATGCCTAGACGTGTGTTAGGTGTAGATAGTCTAATTTCTAGTGTACATAAGTATTTTACGGATGAAAAATAAAACGGCGGTCCTTTAAAATCGGTAATGTCTATACAACAACGCGTATGCGATGCTCTAGAAATTAGTGAAACGAAATTAAGAGGAGTATTACAAAATCACAATAGTGAACTGCTGAAAGAAGATCACCGCAAAACTCGCCCATCATTGAAAACGAAAAATATTCCAGATGGAAAAAAATTTGAAATTCGTAATACCATTTATCGAATGAGGGCCAACAAAGAACATGTGACCTTAAATACAATTGTCTCGGAATTAATAGATAGAAAATTTGACGACATTGGCAGAACAAGTCTATGGCAAGTGATACATAACTTGGATTTCAAATTTCAAAAGGAGGATAACAGAAAGGCCCTTTGTGAAAGAAGTTCTGTCGTGCACAAGAAAATTAACTTTCTAAGAAAATATTCTAAATTTAAAGAAGAAGGGGCGAATTTTATATATTTAGGATATTTTCTAGGGGTGCAACCAAGAGAATATGGCAAGATGAAAACGTAAAGTCCATCAAACATACCAATGGAGAAGGGAAGCGACACATAATTTTACATCCAGGAGGGAAATCGGGTTTTATAGAAGGTGCTGATTTAATATTTTCATCTAAATCAAAATCCAGTGACTATGACGATAATATGAACACAGAAATGTTTGTAAAATGGTTGCATGAAAAACTTCTCCCAGGTTTAAGTGAGCCCAGCGTAATTATTTTAGACAATGTACCTTACCATTCCGAAGTATTAAACAAAAGTCCAACGAATTCTTGGACTGTTGATAAAATTAAAGAATGGTTGTCAAAGAAACATATACCATTTCCTCAATACAGTAGAACTCCAATTATCCGAACTCCGACTATCCGAATCGCCGATTATCCGAATCAGAAATGCGCGTCAAGTCTTGACGGAGATGTTTAAAAAACAATGATTTTTATTTCTAAACTTGTACATAAGTACATTTTATTTATATTTAAAACATGTGAAAATTTCATGTTTCTTTCATTTAATTCAATAAAAAAATAGTGCAATATCAAAACGTAGCTTTTATTCTCTCCAATGGCAATTTTTTTAAAAAAAATCCGATTATCCGAATATTTGATTATCCGAATGGGTCCCGGTCCCCATTAATTCGGATAATTGGAGTTCTACTGTATATATTAAATTCAGAATTATTACGCTTGGCAAATATACATGCAAAACAAAAGTTACTGTCATCAAGTTTTACGTCTGCCACCGTATCATTGCCAGTTTAATCCCATCGAATATATATGGGGAATAGCAAAACAATATTAGGAAAACCATATTGGGCACAATGATTATAGTGATGATGCAGTTCGGGAAACTTGGCGAAAAGCACTTTCAATTGCAACTCCAGAAGTGTTGCGGAACTGTATATCCAAGTGCGAGAAACTAATAGAAGATTGGTGGACTCGTGAAATTAAAATAAACGAAATAAGTCCAATCATAATAACAATTAATGGTGATGACAGTGATGATGATTATGATATTTTGGATGATAATGACTGATTTTCATTTTTGTTGGCAAGTTCAATTTTTTTATTTTTCATTTGAAATTCTCTACATGGAACAAATGTTTATGTTAGAAAATATTTTATTTGAGCTAAATAACCCTCCTCTTATACATAGACCATATTTTTTGTGTGTGAACATTAGACTCCATTAATGAAGAAGTTTAATTCTGCTCTCAATTATACAAAAGAGTATTTTATTATTTAATTAAAAATTTGTACATTATTTTTCATTTCATTTAACCAGTTGATATTTCCCCAAAGAACAGGTCAAACTTTCGGGTACTTACCTGGAAATACTCATAAAATTTTTAATCCGAAACCCGCGTAAGTATAGCGAACAGACTGTACTCCTAACGCATACGTTTCCAATGAATCACCCTGTATAAAGTGATAAATAAGTGAAAACAGGACGGCCACGAGCATGACGTCACGCGTAGAGTTTGTATAGGCGTAAATTTAAAAATACTGTCGAAGTGTGAGGAAAATATATGCTATTTACAGAAATTTCATGAATATTTAAAGAAAATATTTTAAAAACTTCGTGAAACACATTATTATGGGATAGTTAAGGAAAGAACTATGAAGAAAATAAATGCAAATACATTGAATATTTATTTTAAGTAACAGATTTTTTTTTCCTTTTTCCTTTCAATGAATTTTTCTATAATCAGGTTAATGAGAAGGGTATCTTCGCAACTCGGAAATTTTGACCTGATTAGGGTTCGCCACTGGTGACTCATTTGACTGCATTATATTACCCAATTGAATATACTTTATTATTATTTTTTTTTTTTTTAATGATGAGATTTGTGTACAAATAAGATTTTAACAAAAATAGCTTTAAAAAATTATTTTTCATTTTTATAATATAATGTATAAAAATGCTGTTCCAAACACAAATAACTGTTACATGTTAGATGCATACACAAAAGTAAAATAAAATGCCATTGTATTTCTCCTGGACATAGTAGACCGTCAGATAGTGATAGGTTTAGGTGCCCCATTTTCGCATACAACCCTCGAAGAGGGTTCAAAAGTACATCGATTTTAAGTAGAATGAAAGTAAATTTACGAGTGGCTCCTGGGGATAACACATGGAAAATTCGATTTTCCCCAACAAAAATTAAAGGTTATTTGTTGCCCTTTTTCCACGCAAGCCGTTTTCACTATATGATTAATTAATAGAACTAGGCTTCGGAAAACCAAAGGCTTTAAAGTTGCAAGTGGCTAAAGGGTTGAAATAAGGGCGTAATCTTTTAAGGAAAAATCGAGATTTTACCAGATTTTTCCACACAAGCCCATCGAATGTATGAAAACATACATCATCACTAGTCCGAAAAATATATTTTCTTGAATGGCACGAATGTATAAGTGCATTTTGGAGTCGGAAAATTTTTCTGATAAGGAAAATCGAATTTTCCTTATCCCCAAGAGCCACTCGTAAATTTTCAACCCTCTTCGAAGCTTGTATGCGAAAATGGGGCATCTAAATCGATCACTATCTGACGGACTATCGTCATTGACAGTTTTTTTATTTCATTAATCAAGTACAAGTCGAAATTTTCTTTTTTTAGCGACATTTACAATTTCTCCTTTACTTATATTGTAAAATTTTCACATTTCAAAGAGTAGAGTCACCAGTTAAGAAGTCCCGAGTTGCGACTGAACCAATATAAAGTTCTGCTTTGGGGTGCCTCTTATATTTGGAAGGTTGAAAATGCTTGGAATACACATGACAATTTTCTGTTTTAAATTTATCTGCACACTGAAAAAAAATTGTAGAACAAATTTCTACAATTGTAGATTTTTTCTCTACAATAAATAGTACAAATAGGGACAGGGACAATTTGTAGTAAAAATTTCCAAATATTTGTAGAGAATGTATTGTAGAGTTATTATTTACAATATTTAGTAAAAATATCCAAATACATCATAAGAATTGTTCTACAAATTGTTAAAATTTTTGCTATTCATTTTATGAATTTATATTAAAAATGTATTGCGTTTTATGAAAATAAATACGAAAATTTTACACAATAAATAGTAAAAATTCATACAAATTGTAGTAATTTTTAATAAAACTTGTAGTAGTTTTCCATAAATATTATAATTATAACCTAGAAAAAAATGTTCCTTAATAAAATATTCAATTTATTTTTTAATATAAAAGATACAAAGTCTTATTTACATTATGTAATAAATAACAGTAATAATAGCACCCTCAGTCTCAGTTGGCTTTTCTGCACCTGAAAAATATGAAATAAAAATTAATAACAATTGAACTGTTTATACCATTAAAACGGGGATATTTATCACCTTTACACTGATTTGGATATTAAATGACTAAGTCAGATAACTAACAAAATTGAGAAAGTAGGTATGTCACAATTAAGACAAAAAAACCTCATTGAATTTGGCACAACATTCGATCGTTAGGCACAACTATTTTTTTTTTAATAATCTACTAAGGTTATTTAAATTAGTTATCTAAAGGTAAATTATTCAGAAACAATAATAAATGTACTTACCACCAATAGAATTTATTATTAAAATTTTCTCAAACGCATCGGTGCTTATAATATAATAATGTGTTATAGGTACTCGTATATGTCCATGCTTTGTTATGTGAACATGGCGAACGGCTACTGCTGTCTGGCCATTTATGATCGACGTCAGAAAACGTTGGCCAATAGCAGAATTCTGTTTTGTTCACATGACTTAGAATTTCTACAATATTATAGAATATTTTTGAACAAAATTGAATATTTTTCATAAGAAGGGATGTAAATTATTACTATTTTTTGTAGAGAAAATTACTATTTTTTGTAGAGATAATTATTAATATTTATACAAATTTTTTCAGAAGTTAGTAGTAGTAATTACGATAATTGTAATAAATTTCTACTTCTACAAACAATAGTAAAATATACTAAACATTGTGGAATTCTTTCCTATTGTTGTAGCATTTTATTCGACAATTCAATTGCTACAATAATGAATAGTTTTTACCTATAAATTGTAGTAAAATTTTCTACAAATTGTTGAGTATTTTTCTACAAGTCTACTACTACAACATTGTAGTAAAATTTTCTAGTCACATTTTTTTCCGTGCACGGTCACAAGCCACTGTAAGGTCGGTTTCATGCCCAATTTTCATGCCTATAACAATTTCCTTTTTAGCTATTTTTTTTTTAATAAAAGGTTTATGGATTGTAAGAATTGTAAGGAAGCACGGCCCCCTGAAGCCGCCTTTGAGCCACTGCTCAGTTCTGACTAAGCTCTCACTCACAAAGAACAAAGTTTACAACATAATAAAATACAAATATCTGCTAAAATGTTATAACACACTACAAAGACTCACAAACTAATGCAACTTGCGTCTGACAATATGATATTTATTTCGCGCCAACTTTACTAACTCTATGCATGACGTCAGCGCCGCCATGACATCATGCACGATGTCCCCCCTGGTGAAAACTAGTTGGACTGCGATTTCCAATGGTGGTAAAATATTAAAAAATGATAATAGAAAAAAGTACTTACGTCACTCATATCACCAACATCGAGATTCTTTGTGTCTGGGCCCGGGCCGTTGGAGTCGGCCTGCGGGCCTGTGACCGGAGTCCACGGCGACGAAATGGTGGTTGCTGTCAGGACGCTGCCTGTAAAAAAAAGCAATTAAATAATAACTACATCAAACAAATAATAAATGACACATCGATACAAAAATAAAAAAAATGTATAAAAATACAGTATACGTTGAACAAGTTTGTATATTTTATATTTTATTTTTGTATATTTTTGTATATTTTTGTATATTTTTGTATATTTTTGTATATTTTTGTATATTTTTGTATATTTTTGTATATTTTTGTATATTTTTGTATATTTTTGTATATTTTTGTATATTTTTGTATATTTTTGTATATTTTTGTATATTTTTGTATATTTTTGTATATTTTTGTATATTTTTGTATATTTTTGTATATTTTTGTATATTTTTGTATATTTTTGTATATTTTTGTATATTTTTGTATATTTTTGTATATTTTTGTATATTTTTGTATATTTTTGTATATTTTTGTTTGTTTTCCAAGTAAAATTTTAATTGAAAATATCAATTTCTATATTAAATCAAAAAAACTCTTACAAATTCTACCTTTTTAGAAAAGAAAAACCTTTCTGAGTAACTAAAAATTTACAAGGCGGTCTATATTAAATAACAAACTTAATTTATTTTTGAATGTAGCGAGTGAAAACAAATATTTTTTAAGTTAGATGCATTTAAAATGGGTTCTAATATACTTGGCCACACTATATACATTTTTTCCTAATCCACTTTTTGAAGTGTCCTATATGTTTTTAGGATAAGTCTATAAAATTGATCAATAAGTCTATACTGAGCTGAAACCTTTAAAAATATAGACCAATTTCGTTAATTTCCAAAATTGTTTAGACATTACGAAAAACATCGTTTCTTAAAAAAATACAAAGTCCTTTTTAAAAATCAATATTATGCTTTTCAAGAAAATATGTTAGTATCCTATGCCATAACCAATTTGGTTGGAAAAATAACTCATTCGGTAAAAAACATTCGTCCTTCGGCATATTCATAGATTTATCCAAGGCGTTTGATACGGTAGATCACAAAAAATTATTATCTGTTCTTCAAAATGTAGATCTCGGAGAAGTTGCTTCCAAAGCTGAACACAATATGTGCGAATTGCAGAAAATGTAAGGTAATTAAATACGGAGTTCCTCAAGGAACGGTGTTAAGTCTTATACTTTTCAACATTTATTTACTCAAAGAATTCAGAATCACAGTGTTTGGACAATACAGCCATTTTCTATGAAGGAAATAACTGGAAGGAATTAAAAACACAGTACAGAATGACTTTTAAACATTTTGCAAAAAGAGCAGATTACTAAGAATTCATTAAAAAAAAGCTTTTACATCGAATAGCAATTATTTACTGCTTCATAAAAAACTGGTATTAATATTCAAAATAAAACTATTATAACAAAATCTGTACCTGGGAATTAAAAAATTAACTATATTATAAAAAGCTTATACTTTTTTTGTTATTCGTCGGCCCATGTCTAACTGTGAGGTGAACACGCTACCCCCAAATATCAGAAATGTATTTGAACCTCTGGTGTTCCAACCAGAGGTAGACATCTTTAACGAAACCAACATCTATGAACTCGGGACCGACTACTTTACAATTCCTCCAAAAGATAGCACATCCTGCGCTATACCTAGTATTCATAGATATAGCGCCTACCAGCTGTGGTATGCAACTACGCGGGCAATTTGTTTTGGCTTTTATAGGCATGCCGACTTTTACACATTTGTTAGACCATTGTTTTCTTCTCATTGTAGACCCGAAATCGGTTGTCTTACTTTAGTAAAATACCTATTTTTTATGTGGGATTTATTTAGTGTCATTTTGTTACGATATAGATGCCCACATTACAGCAGTGGTTGGATACCCTTCTTCACTAGATTATTTGTTGATGTCTTTAATTTTTTACTACTGTGTAATTGTAAAATCATACATATTTATTTGCTCATTAAGAAATAAAGTTTGTGGTAAGAAACCGCGATTAACGTAATACAGTAACATTATAACTAAAATGCGAATATAATGAATGTTTAATAGATCTTTCACGTCACAACTACATAATATATTAATGAAACATGGAAAAGTTCATATATATTGTTCAAAATAATCAATTATGTAAAAATTTGTATGTTATAGTGTTTTAATTAAAACATTTTTTTTTGTAATAGGTAATATGGAAAAATAGCTACTCGTTGGACAAGGCTAGATAACCAAGATACTAAATGTTTTACATTCCTAAGTTTACTAAAAATTTTGATTATAATAAAAAAAATAAAATAAACCATAAAATGAATTCTAAAAAATGGCTGGCGACAAATTGTCGTGGCAATGAATTGACGTAGATCCATGTTACATACATTTTCTGATGGTACAGTGAACGCAATTTGCCATGCGTTTCGCTCTTTAGCATCAGCAGAACAAAAATATAGCCAAATCGAGAAGGAAGCACTTGCTTTAATTTTTGCAGTTACTAAGTTTCACAAAATGTATATCCATTTTTGGTTCAAAAAAAGGAATACCTGTATATACCGCAAACAGGTTACAGAGATGGGCACGTACATTGTTGTCTTATGATTTCGAAATATGTTTTGTATCAACAAATGCAGACTTTTTATCCCGACTTATGGACGCCAAAACCAAACCAGATGAGGAATTTGTCATTGCTGCTATGCATATGGAGGATTCCATTAAACAAATATTAAGCGATATTGAAGAAAATCTCCCTATTATAGCCAACATGATAGCCAATGAAACCAAGAAAGATAGCATTTTACAGAAAATTGTTTATTACGTTACTAATAATTGGCCGACCAATATTGATAATGAAGATATTCAACAGTTCTTTAACAGAAAAGATTCTTTATCTGTCATACGAGATTGTCTCATGTTTGGTGATAGAATTGTAATTCCAAAGAAATTTATAAAAATAATTTTGAAACAATTTCATAGAGGTCATCCAGGTAAAGAAAGAATGAAATCTATTGCACGAAGTTATGCATACTGACCCAGAATGGATAAGCACATTGAAGATTTTGTTCACCAATGTAACAGTTGCCTCCAAACTTCAAAATCACCATTTAAGACCCAACTTTCATCATGGCCTATCCCTAATAAACCATGGGATCGCATCTTGATATTGCTGGACCCGTTGAAGGTATTAGTTATCTAATTTTGGTTGATGCTTATTCAAAATGGCCTAAAGTTTTTCAATTAAACTCGATCACATCTTCAGCAATCGTAGAAAAACTAGATAATACCTTTACAATTTTCAGACTTCCCAACACAATGGTAACTGATAACGGTACACAATTTACCAGCAACTTTTTTAAATCGTTTTGACAAAAAAATGGTGTCGAACATATCACAACTCCTGCGAAGCAGAAGGTTTTTACTCCAGATTTAGTGTTCGTTAAAATTACTTCTCGAAATGTAGAGGAATGGACTACAGGAAAAATTATAGAACACACCGGGAATGTAATGTATAATGTTTTTCTAGAAGACAAAAATATTTTCGTCAGAGCTCATGCAAATCAGCTGAAAACAAGAAACTTTAAAGTACCCTGTAACAATATACAGACCAAAAAGTTGCCCTTAGATATTTTAATAGACACGTTTAATTTAGTACCAACCTCAACAACTCTACCCGACCATATTCCCACTGATAGCTCAACTAGTCAACATTTCAACATTCAAAATAGACCTCGTCGTATTACACAAAGACCTAAACGATATGGATATAATGATTTGAGTTAAAGAAAAAGGGAGATGTTAGCATATTTCATTAATACTACATGGACTACATACTTGTCTTATACCTAGACATTAAAAAAAATGGATACGGACCTAAATCTGTCTCCTGAAAATAGTCCTCTAAATAAAATTGCACGTAAGACAAGTAGCGCACCACAAACCCCAATTGTCCATCAAACATTTTTTGAAGATAGCTTGCACACATTCACGCTAGAAACACCGCAAATACCTACTACAGCTACCGAAATCATCAATACCGACCCAAACGTTGATGAAACAGAATCAAAACAAATAACTGAAATTGATTCTTACAAGAAAGACATAGAAGAAAAAGTTAAAGAAGCAGCTATCGTAGAAATATCAGCAGCGGAGAAACAAGAAGATAGACCCCCCAAAAACAAGAAGGTAGAAGAACATAAGAAAAACTGCACTACACCTAGACCAAGAACAAATTCAAGTAGTTCCCAAAGAACTACAAGGGCAACACACCAAAAAGAACTGAATAAATAAAAAGAACTTGGAAGAAACAAAGCAGAGCACTGGTAAAATTTTCTCTAGCTTCCTCTTAACTTTTTAATGCTTAAAAATAGTGAGATCTGATCCACTAATATTCTTTTTTGTTTCTAAATAGGTATTATAGTTCATTAATTTCTTTATTACTGTATTAAAAAAAATTGTGTATTTAAAATTTTGATGAATGAGTTTTATCTAATTTTATCCAGATTATATATTCGTATTGCATACATCTTAGATTAATTTTACATTGTCATATCTTTTATAATAATTTAGTATAAACAATATATTATAAAATGGATCCCTATATTCGAGACTTTAACGTACAAAAAATATACAACTTTCAATTAAGTACCTCTAGCGAGGTAAAACAGGTATTTGAAATAAATAAAAATAATCCAAATATAAAAATTATCCACAATAATATTCGAAGTATAGCAAAAAACCTAGATGAGTTTGAAATATTTTTAGAAGACCTAGACACATCTATTGATTGTATTGTATTTACAGAAACTAGAAGTATACCAAATGTCGAGATATATAATATTGAGGGTTATAAGACACTCCATAACAACGGCACTCGGAATCAAAATGATGGTGTATTGGTTTTCATAAAAACAGAACTTTATCTAGATCATATAAATGTAAAGCTAGGCGATTCCTTTGTATTACGTGTAAAATTAGAATATAACAAAAACATTGTCTATATAAACTCATTTTACAGATCCCCTTCAGATAGACATGTGGACATATTTTTAGAAGGTTTAAGAGAT